ATGCTGCAGGTTGACCACATTCCCCACAAGCCTTAATGCACTCTCGTGCTAAGCTCACCCTCTATTTGCATGTTTAAATCTTGTGCACAGCAGGAGGTCGGTGTAAAGGAAGAGGTGACGCAGGCTGCGTTCACTCTCACTCACATCCACCAGAAAGCCATCACGCATTAGCTGGCGTCTCTGGGAGAGTACACACACACACAGACATGTTGTAAAATGGGTGCCTGTATACATTCAGCAGGGCATACGTCCTATATAACTTTTCTCCATATTCATTTGAAGGGATTGGGTTGGAGACTAAACTCACCATCCCACGACTTAACGTGACCTCCCGTTTACTTTGTGAACTTTCGTTGACACCAGACAGGAAGCTGCGAGACAATCTCAGAGCTTCCTGTAAGGCTGTGTAATCTCTATGCTCTGTTGGCGTCGTCTTCAGGAGATCCTACAAGATGACAGAGGTTGCCAAATCAGAAAAAAAAAACAAGAAAGAGCTCCTGCTCCAGGAAAAAAAATGTATGGACTCGTCATTAAAAATAATGCAATCAAACACCAGAGCGATTTAAAAAACACTAAGAGGAGGATGTTAATAAAATCATCCAGGTCTTACCTGCAGCACTAATGTGGTCTTTGTAACTCTGTCCAAGGGCTTGTAAAGAAGAGCTATAAACACAAACAGAGCTATCAGACCCTGGCAGACATGTATGTATTTTGTAAAAAAAAATAAAAAAAATTAAATCACATTTTATTGTAAGTACCTTCGAATGTGTACGTAGTCCGAGCTTTGTCTGTGCCGTTGTTAGACATCATGCTCTGAAAAAGCAGCAGAAGATGCAGTAACAATGATGCAGTGTGACTCAATGGCTCAGTGGCTAAATGTTACTGTGGTGGTGCAGGATCTTTAGTACCTCTGCCAGAGTTCGAAAGCGAGGGTCTGAGTGGGTGCACTTCCTAACCACTTCAACAGCTTTCACGTAGTTTTCAATGAAGCCACCGTACAGACCAATCTGGCTCACCTGCAAAGGTAAAAGACACTGGATGAAAAAGGTCCAAAGTCTAACCTCCATGCACATACAGCTGTGTGACGCTTGATAAATAGCCTGAATAAATCAGCAGCAGTTCAGGCTGTTTATTGCCATCTAAAATTGCCTGGTGTGTAAAAATTTTAACCCAATGTCTAAACTTGAGAAAATGAGATTTCTGTTAATGATGTCATCCTTCCTTTTTATCAGCCATATCCTTCTGGGGGAGATTTTTTTTAAGAGCCATATTGGCTTTTAGAGCTATATTCCTTCTTCCCCACAAACAGAGTCACTGGACAAAACCTGGGTCTTACATACAACAAACAAAAGCTCATTTCTATTCCAGTAAAATAATGACAGAAAACCTAAAACTGAAACAGCCAGATAGAATTCAGCCATCTGTCACACTCTCTCTGACTCATCACAATACGAGACTTGAAAAGTCATATTGCCTTCAGAAAATGATAAAAGTGTCTGGAAATGTATTGTAGCTGCACCACAATGTGTATTGCAGCCAGTTTTTAGTCTTAATGAGCACTCAAAGCACTTTACAGTAGAAGCCACAAAGATCCTTACAGCACTTTATTCGATTCATTATGTTATTTATCCTCCATTCATTCGCACCTATGTCATGCTCTCGAGTTTTGGTAAAGCACTTGTTGTCCTTTGATCACTGCTGTATTTGTTGGTTTTGTTGCATTT